AAAGGATAATAGCGAACGGGATTAGGTTTACCGTTATAACTTGCAATTACATGGGTAACTCCTGGGACTGAATTCAGTGAAGGGGTTGAACTACCAAATCGTCTCTTTGAAAGAATTTATTTGGAGGTTGACAGGAACGGTTCCGTTCCTGTCAACCTCCAAATCCACCTAGGAAGCTCCATCATCCATCACCTAGGAAGCTTGGGATCAGGACGACCGCACGACACGATAGTAGTCCATCACATGACTTGGGAAGACGATCTAATTGATGAATTCCACACTATCAACGGATTTAATCGACCTGAAAATTGCCTTTACTTCCATCCAAGACATCAGTAGGCTGAAGCCATCGTTGTTGAATAACCTCAAAACCGACTTCTGTACGTCTTTGCCAGAAATGCTTTTCCATAAGCTAGCGAATGCGCCTTGAACCGATCCAAAAGTCATATTCGAGTGAAACGAAGCGCTTTCTGCTACTCCGAGGTTTCTTCATAAGATCACCATTTTACCTCCATTCAAAATAGCACTGAGATATGGAAGTTTCTTAACAGGCCTACGCCAACTGAACTGCTTTCATAATGAAGCAGTAACCTTCGATTTACCTTCAGAGTTAAAAAAAGGTAGCCAGACACTATTGTTTGCGGCTGCACAATAGAGAGCGGCGTTGTTGGCCGCCACTGTTGTGAACGAGACTCCCTATACTGGACTAGTAAGCTCAACTCCAACCAGCTGCACTCAGCTGTTTAGAGGTGTTCGGGTGACCGACAATGACAGTATTTGGAATGACTTTTGCAGTTATTTCATCGATTGGCTTGAATATTCCATTTAGCAAAGGCAGAGGCTTAACAGCAAAAGAACCAGAACAAACAGAACTGGTTATCGCCTTTACAAGAACCCATGTTGGCATGAGAGCAAAAAAAAAAGATCATGCAAGGCTTCGGCGAATTTCTGACCCAACCAAGAGATGACGCTCCTCGAATTTACGCTTTCATAAATTCAAACAACTCTTATCTTTGACTCTCCATTCTTGACAAAACTAAAAACCGATTCGTCGCTCGCGGAAGTCGCGAACTAGTTGCCTCGATGTTGCAGTTCTAGCGTTCTTCAAACAGCGTGACCGATATGTATTATTATTTTCGACATGATTCTTCTGCTATTTAGTTCGTTCCCGTATTCCTTACTCGATCTGCCTCACTCTACAACATCCCTTCCTGCGCGACGTCACTCTCGCCGCGAGGCGACCGTATCAATTCAACTGCTCCACTTCCAGCTTTATGAGCTCTGTTTTCCACTGGCTTCAATGGAGGTGACAACCACACCAGCCTATTTTCAATTTACTCAAGAACTGCACTTTTATTGCGGTAAGGGAAAATGGGCAAAAACCTATCACTTCGTTGAGCTTCTCGGTCCTGAAGAAAAACGATACTTCGGCTGCTTCCATGAGAGACAATGAGTTAACTTTATGGAACTGAGGTCCGACACGGTTAGGTGTAGGCATTTGCGTTTGGGTCTAGTTTGTAACGCCTCCCCGTTTGGCCACTTTTTCAGCACTGCCCTGAACGTGGGTATTTCCTCGATTTGGACACAACACAAATAGACAGATGTACTGGCCAGTNCAATTTACTCAAGAACTGCACTTTTATTGCGGTAAGGGAAAATGGGCAAAAACCTATCACTTCGATGAGCCTCTTAGTCCAGAAGAAAAACGATACCTCGGCTGCTTTCATTAGAGACAATAAGACAGTCAACTGTGTGGAAGTGAGTTCCGACACGGTTAGGTGTAGGCATTTGCGTTTAGGTCTAGTTTGGAACGCCTCCCCATTTGGCCACTTTTTTAGCACTGCCCTGAACGTAAGAACTTCCTCGATTTGGACACAACACAAATAGACTGATGTATTGGCAAATTGAAATGGAGCGAGCATTTGGACTCTACTGGAAACCGTGAAATTTTTTGATCATTTGGCTTGAGTAGAAGAAAACAGTCACTAAATTGATCAGTACTTTTTCCTCCCAAACAGGATTGGTATGGATTAACCGCTGCCCAACAATGTCTGGCTGGAACCATTTTCGAGTATAGGAGCCAACACAGAAATACATGGGTTCGGGGTGGGAAATACACTACCTGGTAAGGCACAAGACTACTTACAGTTTGACAACTTCGCAGAGTCACATTTGTTTACCATCCTTCTTCCAATCGTTTACCTTCTTTCTATTCGTGTTTGCAGAAGGTGGAAGAGAAAAGGAATCAATTGTAACCACGGTTCTCTTTCAACTCTAGCGTACAGGAACAAAGCATTGGAGTTCCCCCGTGATTGCCTTTCAATAAATAAATAGACTGTTCATCGATGACTTGAATTTATGGGCTACGGAAGTTGACACCGTTTGTACGGATTTGCAACCTTTGCCCGTCGCGAGTGACCTGACATAAAAAAGTCCAAGGACTCTAAGAAGGTCAAGTTTAAGAACCACATTTTATACAGCCTTCGAACGATATTTCAGTCAAAGGGCGTCAATGCGGTGCACACCCATGGGATGGCGAAGTGATTAATGACTCTATCTAAGTGATTAATTTTGGTATTTGCTACTGTAATTACGCTGTAAACTGAGTGACCCAATTCTTGAAAAATTTCAAAATAAAAATGTAAACAAACAAGTGGAAAAAACAAATGGTCAAGGTAACCACCATAAAATCCCATCTTCCACCCACAGTCTCTTCCCCATATCCACCCCCATTGAGTAAAAAATGAGAAACTATGAAAGGTCATATTTTTTGAGACTATTAACTTCTCCTCAACGAGTAATCATCCCACCAAGATCCAGATAAGACTTTTTAGAAATAAATATAAAACGTATTTTTAGAGAATGTCAACCAACAGAACAGAGGATTCTAAAGCAGTAACTTACTCATACGGACTCCGAATGTCGAGTTGATTAACACCAATTTGAAATTGTGAATAACGATGAATATTCAAACGTTCATTAGTCGTCACTTCCATTACGATTTGATAGAATTGAATTCCGGTCATGGCTGATGACCAGCTGAAATGACGTCATCAATCAATATCCCTGAGAAGTCCTGTTAAATAGAAATCGGGAATCAACTATTCCCCATTCCGCCTGAACTTAATTCGACTGACGGATCCATTTTGTGGACTTAAACCTCACGCGTTGAAATAAGAATTTATAAGACGTGGAAAAGGAAAAACTCATCGACTACACAACTAATTACTATCAAGTAACATTAGAAAAATTTGCAACACTGCTTACCCGGACCTGACCTTGTGGCTCTTGATATTTAAAAAGAAAACCAGGCATCTAAAGCATCCCACGATTAACTCAAATGTACTCACCCACATACTCCTGCACTGACCAGGAAGGCGAATAACAGCCAGTGATCACATGCGATTATATCATTCATAGAGTGCACCATACATATATCCCTCCAATCTGAAATGACCAAAATGCCATCGAAACCGAAAAAAATATGAAAAAGACTAAAATAAGGGACCAAAGTCGGAAGTATCTGGTATAGACTTACATAAAATAACTGCAGAACAAAATAACGCCGTTGAAACGGAAATTACCAGCAAATAACAGATAAAACCTCGATGATTATTAGCAGCTACACAATTGTTGATCTGAATAACAAAAAAATTATTTAGTACGAAAGAAAAAATGTTGGAAAACATCAATCGGAGCAAGTAGTAAAGTGGAACGAGGGAAGCTCATTGGAAATAAATAAAACGCTCATNATACCGAAGTTGAAAGATTCTCAAACAAATCAAAACTTCATCCCTTTGGAGCTAATTTTTTGACCCCGGCTAAGATATTAGAGTGAAAAGGCTTGCTTTCGTATCTTATAATGTCCTTAGTTTAGTAAGCTGATTGACAGACAACTGTGGCAGTCACCTGGTGTGGTGCAGTAGGAACGAAGTTGTCGCGTCGCGGTGGGAGACGTCGCGCGCGAAGGAATGTAGCAGAATGCAGTAGCAAGTAGGAAATACAGGAACAAAAGAACTAATACTAGTATTATGACAGAAGTAATAATCGCATAGCGACTAAGCTGTATGAAAACGCTAAAACTGTTATAATGAGGCAAGTGGTCCGCGACAGCTGCGTGCGGCAAATCGATTACACAAACCGAACCTACTGGCCATCTCCCCAGTCATCTACTCCAAGTTGTCCACCAATGGATCAATAACATGCTCAGATTTTCCACTTTCAACTTAAAGTCAAACGCAATGCGTACTCTGAATTGATACTCAAACGAGAACATTTTCCTCTAGAACTCTTCACACGACAAATAGTCATTCAATCAAAAGGAAGTAATTTATATAAGAATTATATCAGGGGGTCGTATACGGTTGTAAAGGTAGAATTCGGTCATCAAGGCCCTTCCACTCAAATCAATCTTGGATGATAATATCAAATCAAAGGTAATCCGAATCTTCTGCCAACTTTCTTCACCTCTTCTGAATCCACAAGGAATCTCCTAGGGAAGGGCAGCCGGCGTTCCATTTCGTCAGGGTACTAGGCCATGAACATAAAGATAGTAGTAGGTGGTTTGGATCCGCAAAAAACAAAGTGTGCCGACAAGCTACTACGTTCGACAAATAGAGAGGAAGGAAAGTAAGAGCTTAAGTATAAAGTGCAAGGTCGCCAGAGTGTTGGCTTCTAAAATGTAGTCAAGCTAAAAGTATCGGGGAGAAAGACGTATAACAAAAGCCAACAGAACACAGGGGTTTTTTTCTGTTGCAATCATTTAACAGCCATGCCATTTTGTAGATCGTTCTTTCTCAACCACAAGGAATAAACCACCATTACGAAAGAAAGGGGGTGGGGTCAAAGACTGTTTCTCGCATACTGAACAAACTTCTGACACTAGCCTCACAACACCAATCACACCCCCGTTCCCATCGGTGGGCTGGATCGGGTCTCACCAGGATCTTTAGCGTAAAAAACCCTGGGAGCATTAGAATTTCCAGTCAGAATCAAACAGTAAAATTAAAAGTTTGAATTTGACCTTTATATCGAACTACCGTTGTTTTATTGACTTTCTTTAACCCATATACATTGAAAGCATTTGAAAAAAAAATCAGGAATGTAAGACAGCAGAACTTACCCACGGACAGTGGTGATCGAATCTTGAAACACATCGATTACAATACCGACAGTGTTTGGACCTTAACGACACTACTGTAAAAACTGGCAAGTCTACATGAGCTATTTGAAAACTAGTATAATTTTGCTTTTGGGTACTTGTAAGATATTTATACCTGTTCGGTTTCATTAATAAACATGTTGGACAGAACGTTGTTGATGAGCATTTCCCCTCACTAATATTGATAATAGTTTTACATCTGAAATGAATGCCAATGATGTACCTGACAAATAAAGATCGACCGATATAGAAGCAAAATTCAAAGAGATTGGCTGCTTTCAGACTTCGACGTCCGTCCGTTCGGCGCATTGCGATCGCGTTGCGTGCGTGCGACGGCGGCACTAGCCACTTGTTGACACGTGATTCAGTGATGCAGTGTTGTGGACAAGTGGCTAGAGCCGCCATCGCGCGCACGCAACGCGGCCGCAAAGCGCCTGACGGACGGACGAAAGGAAGAATCGTTGAAGTCTGAAAGCAGCCGTTGAAGGCGTAAAGGAGGCCTACACCACTTGTCTGCGCGCTCTCGATAGCGGGGCCATCACTCCTCCCGACCAAAAATTCCAATCAATCGGGCACACTCAGTCGTTCACCGATCTCTTCTCACCTCCCTCTTTCAAACGTCGGCGGGAATGTCAAAACCCTACAATTCACTTGAAGCCGAGTTTCTATTCCTGTCACTCTGCCAATTCCTTGCATTGCCGCATATGTCCACTTAGAATTAATCATTTCCTGCAATTCCCGAGGCTGAACGAGTCAGTCGTGCCACCCACCGCTAAGCCCTTAGTCCTTGTCGTTGGGGAACCATATCAAAATGGTTCTGCGTTTCGAACGTCAAGGGGTAAAGGGAAAACTGGTAAATTGTACACAACCTCGTAGAGGCGGACATGGAACATAGAACATAACACTAAATTATCTGGTAGAGGCGGACAGGAATAAGGCTTAGGCTTTTCGTCCGCTCTCCCTCACCGAGGCTTGGATAGTGGCTTACACCACCTTTTCTCACAATCAAAATTCCCAACTGTTCGAACTATTCGTCTATTCACCCGCCTCTTCTCCCCACCTTCTCCAATGCTTCGATCCACTGTTGTGCTCTAGCGCGATAGAGACGCAGAAAGCAAAAGGTGCTCATCGCGCGCGTATTCGCGCCAGAGACGCAGAGTCTAAGGGGTGTCGCTCGGCTTCATTCCTATCATGTCGCGCCTATGTCTACTCGACTTTTAATTGTTTCCTGCTTTTTTCCAGGCTGATTGAGCTGGACGTTGCACCCACCGCCTCTGACCTCTTAGTCCTTGACGTTAGGAAATCAGATCATAGTGGATTCTTTTCCAAAGTTAGGGGCTAAGGGGGAACTGGCAAATGGTGTGGAAAACGCTATATTTATTCAAAGACGACTCAAGAGACGGAAATGCCGTCACTGGTTCTTCACGAGTGACCGTTACGGTATTTGAAGACGTCAAAGGCTGATAGGAGTAATGCTTGGATTTTTCGTCTGCGCTCTCCTGTCGGATATTGTCTTCGGACCATAAGGCTACATAACCAATGCCTCCAATCTTCCACCCACCTTCAGCCGTTCACCCAACTCTTTTCCAACATTTCCTTAGGTTTTGGTGAAAATGTCCAAAAAGTTTGAACAATACTGGGCCAATTCATCCTGTGCTCCCTTGGCCGCTGCGCTCTAGCGCGTTAGAGACGCAGAAGAGATGGGGGCGACCCTGGCTTCATTCCTATCGCTTCGCGCGCTAACGTCCGTTCGGCTTCTGGTCGTTTCCGACACTTTTCAAAGCAAAACCGGACGCCCCACTCTCCGCTAGACCTTTGGCCCTTGACGTTCGAGAATCAGATCAGTGGACTCTGCTTTTCTAACGCTCAAGGGCTAAAGAGGAAACTGGCGAACTGTGTACTCTATACCTTGACAACAGAACCAATGCTCATCAAGATCAACAAGCTCACCTCTCTTGATAAGTGGTATTGATGTAACCCGGATCACAATAAGACACCGTGAAGAACGTGAATGGTAGCACGAAAATAGAAAGTGAAAATGCGATTTGCATGTACCTGAATGAACTGGTATGTAAAATTTGATTTCAAGTTATAGTTTATAAGTTTTGCTTTAAAAATCATGTGTTTACAGGTGTAACAAAAGGTCAGCACGCGATGACGCGCGAGTTTGTCGTTCCAGTGCGTGACTTCGTGCTACGCTCAGAAAGTTGTCGCGGCAGAGCGAGTAGCCCGAGCGAATTGTAGCCACATCGAAGTATGGAGCCAGAAATGTTTCTGTCAGGTTGCTTCACCTTCCGGGAAATTTCCCGATTGCCCAATTCCTCCCTGTTCGTTACTGAATCGGGATTTTTCCAAACAAAGGTTTAAGGTGAAATTTGCTCGCAGTTTCGCACCGTCCAAGACCGTTTAGAGAGTTCTTCTGTCCAATGCAAAAAAAAAACTTCCAAATTTGAATCCAAAAATTGTCTGTCTTTGATTGCCACTTATTCCAGATGAGCGATTGGATCGATCAACGTGATGGCCGTCATCGGGGGATAAATAAAAAAAATCGATGGCGCTTCGAAATCGAGGGACCGGCAAAATTTAGAGACTACAGAAATAAGGAGAGCGTAGACTGCTAGAGCGAGCACCCCTATGGCAGAGGGCTCGGCAACATCGACGGTCGATCAGAACTGCTCTCGTCTTCATTGAGAAAGAGGGAAAACAACAGAACAGAGGGTTTTGAACGGGATTTCCCGGAAAGTTTGGTATGACTCTATGACTGCTTTCAGACTTCGACGTCTGTCCGTCCGTCTGTCCTGCGCGTGATCCAGTGTTGTTAACAAGTGGCTAGGGCCGCCGTCGCACACACGCAATGCGCCGGACGGACGGACGGATGGATGTCGAAGTCTGAAAGTGGCCTGCGTGCATGTTGGAGTGTAAGACTTGTAGTCAGATTACCGGATCATTGAACATGTGAATGAAATAAGAAAGATCATTTAAAGTGTTAGGGTTGCACGATGAAAGGAAGTCAAATTGAATAAGGTAAAAATTTTTCTGAAGTCAGCGATTCGGAGCTTTAATCAAATCGCTGACTTCAGAGCAATTCATCTAATCCAATTTGACCCCTTTCATCACGCGACCGTAATGCTTTAGTCAATTTCTTTATTTCAATAACCTGGTAATCTGGTCACAAGTCTTTCTGTGCCAGCAGAAATACCCTGTCGGATAAGTTTCGATGAATCTTTATCTATCTTTTTCTTTCTTTCAGTTCATGATTCTTTTCCAATAGAGTTAGTATTCCGTTCATTTATCGATAACGAGGATCGAAGCGGTACAATACCATGCTCGAAAACTGCCAACATGCGTCTCATTTTGGTGTCAGATCGATATGACGCGCGCAGAGTGAAAAATCACAGGGCGCCGCGCGCGACTGCTGTGCTGCTCATCCGAGCTTTTGGAGCTTTATTGCTACAGTGTAGCTCAGAGAAGATATTTTAGAAATTGACGAAATTGCATGAAAGGCTCACCATGTAGATATGGGTTGTAGATAGAAAAACCAAGTGAGAATCAGGGTGACTTTCGTCGAAGTCGCTATTGATGGCGGTATCGAGTCCAGTAGATCAGAGTTTGAGAATTTTCTAAAAAGAAATCAGATGTAGCCAATCAAAGATGTACTCTGAAAGCTAGACCAGCACAAGCAGTTCCTCTGAAGTAGCTCTCACATAAAAAAAAAGGAACTGGATAAGTCAAATCACGGTACAGTACTTACAGTGGAAAATACTTGCAGAAAATGGCAGTTAGCAGGAGATAAGCGAGTTTAATGGAAAGTGAGGTACTCAGGTGAAGAATCAGCCATATACAGAAGTAGAGGAAGAACGGCACACACCAGAGTATCCGCCTTGAGGTGTTCTGAAATCACATTTTCCCATTTTTATCATTGTTCTGAATTTGTAACATCCTGCAGTGCTTTCAAATCCAGGGGTCAGCGGAATCAGAAGGAATCAAAAACAGTAACAGTCAGGTTAATGAACGACACTTTCCAAGTTAGGGGTGCGCTTCATAGTATCAGTTAAGCGCACTCGTGTATGCTCCAATCCTTGGCCAGGAACGCCTACAATTCTCCACTCCGCCTCCAAATGTACCCCTCTAAATACCTTATTAAGCAACGATGATTTTTTCCTCCGTCTTCAAAACGCCGATCGGAGCACTAGCGCATGAACTATCGGAAGACTTCCATTCCCAACCTCCCCCCCCCACCCACCGT